CTATTAAATATTATAGTAATTATTTTCTTTTTTTGTTAAGATGAAAAATGATTATATTTATTGTTTCACAATAAAAATTAACTTTAATAATGTCGCTGTATACGAAATGACCTGATGAGTACATCTAGTTCAGTGGATGTAGCTTTTAATACATAAATGTGTTGCCACATAAATGTTGTTACATATGAAATGTTTTTGTCACATGAATTACAAAGAACTTCACACCTCTTTGAAGCTGAAGTTTCAAAGTATAATTACATAATGTCGTACAATAAATGTTGTCTGGTGTTCTGTGAAGGAAAATCTCTTTTTTATGAAGAAGTTAAATTCAAAACGAAAATGTTATCATTGTTAAAAAGACTAAAAGTAATTGTAATGACAATTTAATGACAATCCGTCAAAATTACATGAATTAGTATGATGGTTTTTATCATACTTCCATATTTACAAAAATGGAGTACTCTACGTTGATAATATCATTGTTGTATCAAAACAATACTCAACGTTACCAAAGAAAATATATGTGTATGTATTTGCCTTTGCTGGTCAAAGGCTCGTCAAATAATTGTAATATATTATATGAATACATATATACATATATTGTGTGTATAAAAATGAACGTGTACTTTTAATAATGATGCGCTGATTTAATTTGTATGGTAGTGTTATAGAGAAGTACTGTGTAGGTCGTCGGGATGCAAGTAATCTCTATGTTGCCTCAAAATGTCCTTAAAATATTCAACAAAATGAACAAGTGCAAATAATGATGACAATTTTATGGACATAAAACATATTAAAAAGAAAAATGGACTTATTAAATATACATGTTTCATTAAATATGATTGTTACCCTACGTGTGTTGTCACTTACATAAAATAACACCGATAAAGTAGAATAATTTTCAGGATTATTATATGCCTTAGAAACAAATAATTAATGAAAAGAACATCACTGAACATTATATTTGATAAAGGTTCATAGTGAATTATAAAATACTAAATAACCTTTTATTGGTATCCTTATATAAAAATTTCACAAATTAATTACAATAAGTTAGATGATTAAATAAACATTAATCTACTGGTCCATAGCTTTTATTGTTTTGTACACTATCTGAAACTGTTCAATTGGAATTCATATTACAAAATACATTCTAAACACATCCATAATAATTATATATATATATATATAATTTATAATAATCAAGAAAATTCTTTTAGTTCAATGTATTGTTTTAATTTTCTTTGACTATCCTCTAACCATTTAGTCATACTACTCGTACAATTATAAGTTTTTTGAGTTATCGATATAAATTCTGAGAGCCACTGAGCATTACAGATAATATCCTTGTTCGCAGACCTGTTAACAATTTTAAAGTTTTCAGTTACCATTTACCAACAAATTGAATTATTTAACATATATAAATACAATATAACAAAAACAATTACTTTGGTCGAATAATCTCAAACTTTCGTGAAAATAATTTTTAACATACCTAGGTAGACATGCTACTATAAATGTAGCCCAACTTTCAATACAATCTGGATATGCAAATAGAACCTTCTGTATGGATCTAATACTGTCTGATAATGAGGTTTGTGCAAAATAATTAAATGATGATGCACAAGCCAAATGTACAACATTTGTATTTACAACATTTTTGCTGAGGAACAGTGCTTTCTGTGCACATCCATTAAATGACTGTGTATCAATTTCCAATAAAAGCCTTAGTAATCTTATCCAATATCTTATATCATCTGCAATCAAAAGTTTAAAAAGTGTTAAGCAGTACTTTATATAAAAATAACATGTTTTTTATTTTCTAGAAATATTAAAAGCAAATGTAATAACCAAGAAATCGAATTCTACGCAAGTACTGTTAAATTCTATTACTCATATTTTCTTAAAATATGTTATGTACCAGGATATTTGAAGATGGCTTTAGAAAGTGTAGTAACAGCACCCTTGACATTATTCGTCATTAAATGAAAGTATGCTGTCAGATTTGCAACATGAGGACCATAATCACGATCATTTTCATATGATTTTAATTCATTTAAAATCAATGTAGTTAAGTTTAAGTCTCCGTGCAATATACCCAATGATGCAGCTGCTAAATAACTAGATACAACTGGTGGTTGAATTTGAATACATTGAAAAAGTAACGTTTTAGCATCGTGTACTCCCTGGAAAGTATACGCTATAGCAGCCATTGCACACAATGTATACGCTTTTTCTGTTTCAGAATTGGCAAAGGAATCAAGCGCTGTTTCATAAGCACTGTATGATTCTTCATATCGCCCAGCTGAAAATAAAGAATTATACATGTCCTTTAACGAAAATTGTTCAATAGGAGACCAACCTAATAGAATGATATAAAAAAAGAATTAAAGATTACAACCTTTATAAAAAGCCAATGCTAAGTGGCATTGTGAATTATAATCAGCTTTTCTAATAGCCCGGAACAATTTTATAGCTTCTGAATACTTATTCAGTTGTATTAAAACACGACCTAAATTTAAGCACGCCATGTCCTTCTCGTCGGCAGCATTTGTATGTATAGCAACTGCAAATTCTTTTGCAGATGATCTATAGAGCTTTTGTCTCTCTAAGAGTAATCCATATGCATTTCGAGCATAATGATCTTCTGGATAATATTCTATAAATTACCAGAAAACTTACAATGTAATGAAAAGGTGACCCAATGCATTATATAATAACGTTAATGTTATATATAACTTTAAAAACAAGTAAAATACACTTACCTAAGTACCAATTCATGACATCAGAAGCAACAAATACAGCATGCATGTTTTCTATTATATATTTGTATGTAGTGTCTTTTTCAATATCGGTATTTAAAAGAACAGTAAGGACCCAATGAGCATATCCCAATGAAGCTTCTTTGTGAAATCCAAGTTGTGTGGAATGTCGAAATAAGTCGATAGCTTCTTTCCTACCCATCGTTTCTGCAATTATAGCTTGTCCTATCCAACTGTTTATATATGCTGGATCTGCACGCTGGGCTTGCGAATAAGCCTCGTTTGCTTTATACAAATCTCCTGTAATAAGAAATATCAGATTTTGAATTTTACATGACTATAGATGAATTAGATGAATAATGAATGAAGATTTGCTCATTGAGATTATATACCTATATGCAGATATAAAGTTCCCAAGTTACACCAGACTACAGCATTGTTTAATTCTCTGTCGATCGCCATAACATAAGCATGTTGCGCTAATGCGTAATTCCTTACATATGGCGACATACAAACGACCCCCAAAAGATTCCAATGTAGCCACGTCGAAGGACAAAGTTTAACGGCGTGTTTGCTAACAGCGAGACATTTACTCGCAAGAGTTTTGTGATCAACTGATGGATCAGTGTGTAACTGTGTTAAATAACAAGATGCTAAATCATGCCATAAAGAAGCAGATTGTGGAGAAATGGACAATGCACAACAATAACACCTGTAATTAAAATATTCATTAAAATCACATGGAAGATATGATACGATTAATATACAAACACGTTCCTTGTTGACAATAGGAATAAATCTCTTCGTTTTAAACATACAACACCTTCATTTTCATCAATTTTAAGTAATTTAGATGGAACGTTCAAATAACTGTACTTTTCAGGTATAAGGGTAGCTCTATAACATACATCGCCAAGCAACTTCCAAAGACAAGACATATCGTTACGTTCGATAATAGCTAACGATAAATTATTCATTGCTTCTTGAAGAAAATAATTAACACGTCCCAAAAATTGTTTAACCTTATTTTCTTTTGCTAAAGCTAAAGTGACTTCAGCCAATCCTTTCAAAGCAGGAACATATCGTGGTTCATTCAATAATATTTCCTCAAAACCCTCTTTTGCTTCATTATATTGTTCCAGAATCTATAAAACAGTGCAGAAAAACGTTAAATATTTATTTTTTCCTTTACTATGTGTAAAATCATGGATCAGTGATTTAAAACCATGGTTTGATTTAAACAATTTCAAATTCAGTTTATGAGCTATTTTAAATATGTATAGATGCTACTAACTAATTTAATATTTGCAACTCGTGTCAATGAGTACAATGAGGTAGGACACAGTTCTAATGCTCTCTTATAAGATCTCAACGCTGATGTATGAGCACCCCGAATAAAGTAAGCATCTCCTAATGCTTCCCAATTATGGCTGTAAAAATAGATAAACTAATAAAGAAATAATATTAAATTAAATTAGAATTAATAAAAATACTAATTTTTAAAGAATCTGTTTAAGAAACTAATTTTAAAAATGTTGATTTTAAAGTTTTTATTATGTTGGTGGAAAATAAATGGCTTCTTCAATAATTTTTAAATTGAAATGAATTGTAATAAATACCATTTATATTGAAGCATGAAAATATACAAGAAATTTCTCTTAACTATAATGAAAAAATTATACATAAAAGGTTGTAGAAAATGCCAATCAGTCATTTATTTTTCATTAACCTGATATGAAAATAAATCATACGTATCGTTAGGATCAGCTCGAATAACACGTTGAAATGCTTTAATCGCTTGTTCTGCATCTTCTTGATCAAGATATTGTTTTCCAAGTTGGAACCATGCCCACTTAGGTCCACTGCCTTTCATAGTTAATTGTTGTAATAACTGCTTGTTAGCATCCTACAACCAACAAATTTATTACAATAAATTGTATATTTATTAAGTGTGTTAATGTGTCTATACTCACATGGTTTTTTAGAAGTCTGTATACAGTACTTAAACCAATACCAGCTTCTTCAGAATTAGGATTAATTTGTAAAGCAGTCAGATAACATCTCCTTGAACGTTCTAAATCATTAGAATGCTCACGATAGTAACGTCCCAAATAAACTAAGCACTTCCAATTATATTGATCTGTAGTAACACCATTTAAAAATGCCATTAGACTGTGCTTGTACTGTTCCATTTCATAATATATAGTGCCAAGAAGCAACCAAGCTTCTGACATTTCTAAAGCTGAATCCAGAATATCTATTGCTTCATCGAATTTTTTGTGTTGTTTCAAATACAATGCCCTTAAGATAGTAGCTTGAACTTTTGTTTCATTTTGAGATTCCAAATAATTTAATTTATCTGATACACAAGGCTGATCCATTAATACATGAATACGTGCATAAAGTAATTCCACTTGCAACGAAGGACGTTTGTCTAAATGCTAATTGAGAAAAATATATAATAAAATATAATATATATTACACATGTTCAATATAAATAAAATTTCTTACATTCTTGCACATTTCTAAAGCAGTTTTCCATTTCTGTTTGCTATTACTTCTGCTCATTGACTCAATCAATATCAATTCCATTTTATATAATGATTCATCTTTTATTTTATGGTTTGAAAGTTTTAAAGCCTGTCTCATAGCATTTTCCGTGTCTTCCCAACAGTATAATTTAAAACTTATTTCACTTAATGTAATCCAACCATATAACAAATTTGGTTTCGTTGTAAGTAGATTTTTTAATAACTGTCGTGCTTTAATTAGATCATCTGTTTTTCTTAAATATACTATTTGAGCAATTTTCGCTTCAACTGATTCATTATTTAGGTTTATGAGATTTTCATAATATTGCATTATATTAATATCGTCATAATGGTTATTGCCCAAAACATTTTGCTCGTAATAAGCACGACATATATATTCTATAAACAAAGGAAAAATTATGAACAAAATTTTACAACTTTTTTACCAAATATTGTTAGCAAAATTAACGAATCAATTAGTAGAAATATTACAATATCATTAATAGAACTTACCCAATGGCAAAGTAGCTTCAGGAAACTGTTGATGCATGTTTATGGCTCCTTTCAATAAAGTATCTAATTCACCTTTATCATGTAGTATCTCTAAATATTTCTCAATATAATATTGTGGATTAATAGTATCAACATCACGAGCAACAGATAGAAGAACATTTTCTAACACATCTTGGTACTCGTTTAAGTTATTAGAATGATGTATCAGTATTTGTGCAAATTTCACATTAAACAATTTTGTTTGTTCAGAATCTAATATCTCTCGCAAATCACATAAATTTTTTATACTTTCTTTAAGCATTGCATTGTCTGTTATTTGTAAACAAACTTCTAGTATTTTATTTATATTATGAGAGAACTTAAAGTTACTGAAAAAATGAGTTGAATTGAAAATATTTAACTTTAAAGAGATAAGAAAGATTTCACAAAATATATAATAATTTAATACCTATCTATTTGTAATAGCTTGCAATAACATGATACTAATTTATTACGACATTCATCGTCATTTAAATTTTTGTCATGATAAGCTATCAAACCTTGCCAAGCTAATGGATTGTATGGTTCAATTTTTATTGCCTTTTCAAGGACTAAAGGTACTTGTGAATTATATTCTTCAAAATTTTTCATTGCGGCAGCTAATAAAATAAGTGCGCCATAATTATTTTTCTCGATGTTTAGTATTTTCTTACATTTTTTAATCACGCTTGAATATTCATTCTCTTTGAATAGTTGTCGAGCTTCTTTCAGCAATACTTTTATTTCATTCGACATTTTAATTATATATTATACGTAATATACAAAGCATACATTAACCAAATTCTTTTAAATTAGTTCATTAAAAGTTTAACTAAAAAACGTAAGCACAAAAATAATTCCTTGTTAGTATATATTTATTGCTAGATGTAGTATACAATAATCACATAGACACATATTTTTATGAAAATATTTTCACTAATAAACTAAGTGTACAATTTACGATTGACAATGCCACTATCACTTATCAATTATTACATAGGTGTGTTATTATTACTAGAGAAATTATTTATCCCACTTTCATTCATTCGCTTGAAGCACTATAGGTGTTTGATTCAAGAACTAATATAGAGAGGGAAATTTGAATTATATTTGTTTGTATATATTTGTTTCTTACAAAATTAAAACTATAACGCACGTACAATATATGGTAAATTATTAATTCATACCATTTTGTTTTTCATGAATTCAAATTTAATGTATATTGTCTCTAAGAACTATAACAATTATATAAATTACAGATATATTGCAAGACTACAGATTGGTAAAACGTAAAATTACGAGGAATAATATACAAGCATATTATAAATATACGTTTTAACAGGTTTAAGTAGTTAAACTCGTCTTTCAGTAGCTTAAGCAGCTTTATTCAAATTTTAAACGAGTTACTAGACCAAAAATGTATTAGATTTTTACCATGATAGAAGATTTTAGTCACAATATATTATAAATAATGGTTTTCCTTAAAAAATAAGACAATGACTGATACATGTTTATTAAACAAAATACATGTAAATCTAATTCATTAATGAGCCGAATCATATACTCAAACATAGCTATACAAAATAACTTTATCAACACAGGATTATTGTTAAATAATTGATAATAATTGTAACCGTTCATCTCGATGAATGCGAAAATAAGAACAACTTTTCCGAAGCACTTTTCTATTTTACAGCAAGAAATGATTCTAGTCAATTTTAAATCATAAAATTGTTGAAGTGAATTCACCATAGCTATCGATTCCGATTAAATATAAAGATTGGTAGGGTAAGTGACAAATAACCACCACAGTAATTAGAAAAAAGGTACGAAAGGGGAATAACTATTACTGAACTTGCAAATAAACCATGAGGTGTGTACGTGTGTGTAATGTAAGGTAAACAAAAAACATGGCCAGACAATGAACGCAAGGAGAAAGATTTGGAAGGAGAGAGAAAACTCGGGATCGATTGACAAGGATAGAAGGTGGAGAAAGAGGTATGACTCGCTATACAGAGGGAAAGAAGCACAGGAGTGATACGAAAATCAGCGATCGAGGGAGAGGGAAGGAAATGTGGAAGGGTGAACCATCGAGCGATGGTGGGGCATGCGAACGAGTTTGGTTTGACGGAAGAAAGGAGGGGAGTAAGTGGAAAGCCTGACCCGCTCCAGTCTCGATCCAGCCACGGGTAGTGTCTATACATTGTGATGTGACAATGACGGTTGTCATAATTGCGAAACAACGCGTTATTGTGATCAGCTGATCAACCCCATCGATCAAGAAGACAAAAAAGGAAGAATTCGTCTTAATCGACGGAGGGAAGTTACCCAGAAAAAAAAGAAGAAAAAAATTTACCGCGGAGGGAAAGAATCCAATTTCGGTGGCTATGTCGTTGCACCTGTGATAGACTTTGCCTCCAAGAGAGGCCAGCGTTGTTGTTCTGTGTGAATAGTGTTTTTTTTCGGTTTTGTGGATGTGTTGTGTGCACGTATGATTTGTACGGGCGACAGATAGATGTGTCTTAGCCATGCCTGCCGTGCGGAAGTACAGAAGGGATACCAGTGAAGTGAGCTGTTGCCTCAAGTATGTGATATTTGGATTTAATGTCATGTTTTGGGTAAGTGCCACTTCGTATCATTTTTTTTTCGTTCCTCCTTTCAACTTTAGCTATTATCATTTAATCCGCAGCGAGTAAAGAACGAACCGAAGGGTTCCGCGATTGAAAAACAGGGATAAAAATATATTGGCAAATTTTCTTCCGGTTAAAAGATAGGTGTCGCTAAAGACAGGCCCTCTAAGAAAACTCTATAACTTATATGAAATAAAGACAATGTTATGAAACGCGTCGGTAAACTATAAATATTCCATGTTGTATAAAATAAAAATAACCATTGATAAAATCAAATAAAAACACAGTGCGTACAAAATTCTATATCAGAGAGTCATATTTTATTTTGCATGTTATTTCTATAAATAAATCACGTACAATAAATGGACAACATGAAAAAAAAGGAAGATGGAGACAGGAAACATTTTGTTCGTTTATGGCGTGACCTTGGAGGACAGCAGTTACGAATCCTTTCGCGGTTTTACGTAATGAAAACAAATATTCTTGCGAGGAACGATACTAATAAAGACCTGCAATGCAGTTCGATTGTGTTATAAACCGCTCCAATTGTAATCACCACAATGCACACATGTGCGTCACGGTCTGTATACCTCGTTGCATTATTTCCGAACAGTGTATGCTACCAAACTTTTCGACCGTAGTGTACGTGCACGGTATGTTGATTCGGGTGATCGTGAACGCGTTGTCTAACACCGACACTTCGGTGGAACCGTCGCTTCCCTCATTTTTATTAATTTCCCCGGGCGTAATGATTATTCCCCAATGTCGTGATCTTCCTTGAAGTTATTACTGTTTGAAGAATCTCGTCACAAAAGTTGCCTCTGAAACCGGTTCCTAACGAGTGCAACTGACCACCGTGGTAAAGATTTGCGTTGGTCAAAGTAAATGTGACTGTTTTGGTTCTGCTACATGATGGGGTGGCGTTTTGACGTTGAGAGAGGAAGAGAGAAAGAGAGAGTTCTGCGAGCATTTAATTCTTCAGGGATAAATGGAAGTTTCATTCTCACCGATGGAAATGGTGGCTGACGAATAACGAAGAAAGAATATTTTCTTGTATTGATATGCGGAAAATTTTGTTTATGTTCCTTTGATTTATCTGACATTATGATCTTTAGTCTTCGCGGAATTATTGAAACGCGCCAAGTATACAGGTTATTTTAATTCTGCACGTTTCTAAAATATTCCACTTATTCAGTATATACAGTTTATGAATTTATTAATTGATACATCGCTAATACTAATTGTTACTCATTTTCTTAAGAAGAGTATACCTTATCATCTCTCTAGTCTGAGAAGAGTTTCTAGTCTCTTACTTTCAGAGCAATGAATAATCCATTCAGTCGATGTGCAGGCTTAGTTCACCTTCAAGCTATAATTTAAATAATATTTTTGTTCATATTTAATATCAATTTATATTTGATTAAAAGCGTTTAAAAAGCTTGCTAGATAGACTTAAATAAACATCGTATTAATATATCTATTTATTTTGTATGTAATAATCAAGACAAGTAAATATGATATTTGAGTTATACAAGATCTCAATTATGTTCTGTTCATTGTAATTTATGCAGAATGTTTAAAAGTTTTGTACCATAGAGGAGGCCCAAAAGGATTAAAAAAATCTTTTTTGTGTGTTACAACATGAATGTCAGATGATAATTATACGATTAGAACACTTCTAGTGTCGATGACGCAACGATTAGAAAGCGAATCGGCTACGGGGTTTGGCAGAACACCACGTAGTCGTCTATTTTCTGTCTCATTTTAATTTCTATTATCTGCTTGCCCTTCGTTCGAGTGTCAGGTGTCCTTAAACGTCCAATAGGATGATAAGCGATGTACCGAGACAACAGAACAAGTAGAGGCGTCGAGGAGTTTAGGTCCTCCGCATAAACAGGAAGGCAAGTTATGTCGAGGGATGAAATTTAAGCCTTACGTGAATGTTGAAATAAACATAAACTTCTTGTGTCAAAAGTTTCACCTGTTCTAACAACTGTGTATCTACTACCGTCTACTTGGTTTGAATAATATTCATTGAAATCAATCAATTTATTTCGATATTATATAATAGCTGGAATATTATCGACATATCTGTAAACATTATAATCTTCAATAACTTCAATAAGTATTTACACCTGATAATTTTATAATTTTCTTCTTTTTATTATTTCTACACTTTTCCATGACGATTCTAAAATCGTCTTTTATCATTCTACGAAGTATATGAAATTTCCTCTCCAATCTTTTATTAATAACCGGAAAAGATGCTTGGGAATCCCTGGATGCAATCATCAGCATGAAAACTGACAACCGATCGATCCACAAGTTGCCTTTACTTCATCATTAATTTTTCATGTGCCATTGAGATTTAATTTTCCTTCTTGCCCGTGTATGCATATAAAATAAAACAATTGGCTATTTCGCAGTATTCCCAAAGCCCAATAAAATAATCTTTTTCGCCATATATCAATCATGTCTTGATGAAACCCTAAATACGTGCAGGTAGTCCCGGAATATCTTGTATCTCAATGGAGAAGGCTGAACACCCACTGTATTTGCTAGCTTACGTCATATCCGACACCTTCGAGATGCCTTCCTGGTAATATAGTTTAAAAAGCAAATTGTCATAATCACGCTCGCTGCTTGCAATTCGGCTGAGCTTTTGTTACGCAATCACGCAGCGCGTAAGTGGGTCAAACATGGAGGGTTGGATGATGCGCCCGGACGCGTAAGGGGGGTAAGTGCACTGATGCTGCTCTTGCATCCGTGTCCTCAATCGCTGACGTTCCAAGATTCCAGTTAAATGCCAGGCGAGACTCGCGAAGCCATTTGCGACACTGTTGTACTCCAAATTTCTGGTTCCGCGACACTTAACATGCCCACCCCCAACATCCGCAAAAGTGTTCGCGGGAGGACGCTCCCCGTTGAACAGCACAGCTTGGCAAGCCAAGATTTATCGCAGCGGTCTCGGCGATGAATCTTATTTATTTTCGCGAATTAATTTCATTCGAGTATCCAGTAACTTCTGGTAGGGTAAGTCGGGGAGAGATGGCTCGTTTTTTATTTGATAGGACTGTTACATGATAAATACCATTGGTACCTAACAGGAAAAAATATATATTTCTGAAAGTAAACATGTATAAGGAGAATAGTTAAACAGGCTTATACCGTTTAAAAACAATTGAAAATATAGATGTCTGACAATCGAAATGAGATCGGGACATCTCACTCACAGATCCATCTCACATGGAATTACCCTATAACCAAAATAGCTATGATTCTTCAAAAAAGAATTAACAGAAAATATGTAGAGTGAAGTATTTTCGTTTGAAATTGAAGGATTTTAGATTGAAAGGTTCGCGGAGTACACGTGCACTTGCGCGACTGACCTAAATGCAGGTGGCACAATCGACGGGAAGTTATACTACGTAAAAAACAGACTGATACTGTAGCACAATATTTTTTCATTTGAAACTCCATTTTCGAAAAAATCTCGCTGGAAAATATGTCGAGCATTAATTGTTAACAGGGCGTGTTCAAACTCGATTTTTGTCGGGAGCGAGCCTTCAAATGAAAAAACATATTTTCTACGCAGTTTATTTGTCTTTGCGTGCAGAGTAATCCCTTGTCGACTGTACTACCCTGTATTTAGAGTTTGGGGGAACTAATTCTACGTGTGCTCAACTAATACTCGCGTTCAACGTTCTCGTATACGAGATTTTAAATAAAGAACATTTTATTTTGTATTTCTGATCTGTTTATTCGTGTAGAATTCCAAGCATATCGTTCGAATCACTGATTGCAGGACAACTTATACATTCGTGCGCAGAATTCTGTTACTCAAATATAGATAATTGGTTTGTTTGTTTTAATGGGTAAGTAAATAATGAGCATCTGATGCTGTAATAACATGTGGAAACGTTACTCTAACGAATAAGAAAATCAGTTTTGTTGAATGAGTTACTTGAATTTCGTGGTATTACGATCCGTTGTGAGAATCTGCCCAGTGGAACGAAGTTGATGATTTAGAACGATGTAGACGTCAAGATACGCCTACTTTGAAAGGCCGAGCCAATCAGTCCAATTGCTATTTCGTGCAAATAAAAAATAGTGTCTTGATACAGATCACCAACGAGATAACTAATTTCTGTTCTTATTCCCGCAATTGCGATCGAATTGAATTCAATTGGCTGTTTAATTCGAAACTCTTGGCCACGAGGCTCAATATTTAAACTCAGATTTGAACGGTCAAATCCATATATCCGTAGGTGGCGGGATGGAAAATTCAAATGGGGTCATTTCACGCTAAATCGGTCAGTTTCGCGACTATGGTCAGGATTTCTGGTGAAATTGAAATATGCCCGTGTTAAATTAGGATAGAAGCGTTAAACCATGATTCTGCTTCTATGTTTCCCCTTTAAAAAGAAAACTCGATCTCTAAGATCTCTCATAAACAAGACCTATCTTCCTTTTACAAAACGAACATCATTAATAAATATTCATTCTATTAACGATCATTTGCGGTTTTTTGCATACCTTAAAATTACTCTACTATCCAATTGAGTTTACAGAAGTTATCATTAGGAATGGAATATTTCACTTTTCTAAAAGCGTCAGAGTAATTAAATCTCGGCTTTTAATATTGATTATTATATCGGCGAATGGCTAAGACGTCGCACGTTTTACAAATAAATGCCGATACCAATGAAACGAAGAATTTAATGCTTTCCCTTCCTTAATCCTTAAATGCTACAGTCAGACTACTCAAAATTTCAATTTACTTACATTTTCTTTCATGTGTCTTACAATGTTTAATCACCGCGTTTCTTTCAATTACAATGTAATGTTCAATCACGGAAATCGTAGATAGTTCACGTTTCTATTTACATTTTAGTGTTAATTTATAATTCGCCGGGGATCTGAGGGACCGACTGCAACACTTAAGGACTAATGTCACTCGGATGCGTATCGTATTTCGGTGCTATCGA